GGGATCCCATAACTCGCCAGATGTCAGAATGACATGGGTGAGTGTTGTAAGTTCATTGTCGGAAGGAGGGCACATTCGCATGTACGGGAGTCCATTGACAATATCCAGAGGAATGATGAAGCCATCGTTGGCTGTGGATGCATTGTCTGCCCCAACATAGGATGGGATCGATTCATCGACCTCGTTTCTTGTAGTGCTCGATCTGAACCGATGCATGGATGGTACGTTTGATACCATGGTAGGCATTTTGTCGTAGCACAACGATGAAGGGACCGCGGTGCGAGGTGACTTAACCAACTCCATCGACGATCTTCAGACCGTTCATATCATGGTTGTCGATGACAGTGACATCAACCTGTTGTTGGTGTGTAAACATGACGCGAGAATCCTTACCAAGGATCCCACCGTTGGCTCCCCTATCAAAAAGGGAACCGCGATCGTTCTTATGTCGAATCACAGTGGTCTGAACTGCGTATCGTAATATAGAACGAGTGTTGTCATCTGGATCGGGAGGTACCGCCGAGGGAGTGGCGTGACAGTGTACCCGAAAGGTATGGCAATAGCCGTTTGTCAAGAGGCCTGTGGACCACATTGGTTTAGTGTGTTTCGGCCTGATGAAAATCCTGCTCTGCGTCGGAGTCTTGAAGAGCAGCGAGGGAGTTGGATGCAGCTCCAGTGCGATACTGTTGTGATACATCGGAGGGGCGGTAGGAACTGTCGGAGCTCCTGGATTCAGATGAGCTGGATGAGAGCAGGTCCTGTCTGTAACCGGGCGGTGACATGAGGTTGCAGATTGATCCAAGGGTGCCTGTGGTCGTCTTGGACGGTTCCTTCTTTTTGGTCTTGCCCTTTCGGCCTCGAGATTTGGAAGAGGTGACAGTAACAAACCCAGAGGAATCTGGAGTGCCGTCGGAGACCGGCGTGGTTGTAGGGACCGCGGCAGAGGATGCCGTTGCTGTTGCAGGTGCGAGCGCAGCAGGAGTCTGTCTGAGCACTCGGCGTTGTCGGACAGCCTTGCGGATTCCATGGGTGCCTTTGATGTGGCGCATGGATGGGTCTTCCGGGAAGTCAGCCTCGTTTGGTGTCGCGAAACTGAGGTCAGTGTCGATATCGGCTCCAACGTCAGAAGAAGGATCGAGTTGGAGTTGGGAAATATCGAGCGCTAGCGAATCCGGATCAACAGCGGGTATCTCCGCAATAGGTGCTTCTGTGACGGGTACTTCTTCCGCTGTAAGATTGGCCAAGAACTGTTGCTCAAGCTTGGTGGCAGCTTGGCGTTGACGAAGCAAGAGTGTATCTCCAGGTTGCTGAATCTGATGGTATGGTGGAGCCATGAGTGTGCCAATCACAGGAGGTGTCGTAGGTTCTAGCTGTGCTTCCATGGCTGAGGAGATGCGCCGACGTGTCCAGAGGTCGAAGGGTTCATCGCACAGAACTTGCGGTTCGAAGGTGTGGTACCCTTCATGATCCTCTTGGATTTGCTGTTGGGTATTCGTATCAATAGCCTCGTATTGGGAGGTACCGTAAGCAAACTGTGAGAAAGCCTGGATCATCGGAAGGAAGGATTGTTTCTCCATCATCGAGTGCGGGCATTGGAGGATCCGCTTCGTTGGGTACGTCGAGGAGGTCCACTGGTTGCCGTCGTATTGCCACGAGAGTTTTGTGTTTAGGCTGTCATCGGATTCATCAGAAAAATATATCGAAGGGTTGCCAATCAGGTCAATCTCTGGCTCGCTTAACAAAATCTCTGGGAGTAGGACTCGTAGGAGAGCGATCAACCTCGTGGACTTCGTACCTCGCGTGAAGCCGTATTGGTCGGCTGTGATAAGGACGGAGCGATATCACCAGGCGAAGGACGTGCGTTGAATGCTCTTGTTGCACGGCGACTGCAATAGGTCAGCTGTCCTGTCTTGTTGGACTTGGTTTGGTGCGAGGAACCTCTAGGTTGCCTGCTCAGGCGTGGTGCTGCCCATCGTCGAAGGAGATCGTGGAGTTGACTGAGCGGGATGGGCGTGGTTGCCCAGAGTTGTGGTGACTACGTTGAACAGCTAGGTCAGCCGTGTAGTCAAGAATGCTCTTCTTGCTCTGCTCGGAGATATTATCCCATGCCTCTTGTTCCGACTTGGACAACGACCGCCATGTGGTGGCGTTCATCATGACCTTGCGTGGACACCGAGTGTCTGTCTGATGAGCTTGCAATATGACTTCCACCGGTGTATCTATATCATGGACGAATGCCACATAGGTGTCGCCACAGGTTTCCGCTGTAACATCGGTCGAAGAGGATTTCGTGTTGGTAGGTGCGACCACGGGCGTTGCTTCGAGAGCGTGTGGACGTCGCGTGATTTGCATTGTCATGGAGTTTTGCTTGCTCGAGAAGGGCCGCTCGGTACTGCTCGAGAGTATACTGGGAGGTGTCGCCTGCAGCTTTCTTGGTCTGCATTGCGAGACGTCGTACGGGAGCGAGATTTGGTGCCTTGGAGATTGAGCGTTCCAAGAAACGTGCCCCCTGTTGTTCAGTGTATGGTTCGTCGCTGATCTCATTGTACTGCCGAAATTGTTCGAGTAAGTTGGAGATGAAACCAGCTTGGTACCCTCTCCATGTGCCTTCTGCGGTATCGGCGGAGGTGAGATAAACCGAAATCTTATCCGAGCGCAGGGTTGCGACCATGGACTTGGAGTAATTTTCGTCAATTGCCTTCCAAATCGCGCGAGTGTCCTTGGTGGTTTCGTTGGCAAGGAAGACAGATCTTGCCTGTGCGTCTAGGAAGATGTCTTCGAAAGTCTTGTACATCCATTTTCGTTGTTTCTCGTCTAGTTCGACGTTGTGACCGTGAAGTCAGAATCAATGAGGTGGGAGAGACCTTGAGACTTGAGCGTGTTGAGGAAATTCTTCCTCCATTTGATGAAGACTGATTCATCGCGAAACTCTCTGAACTCTGAGCGGACGGGCTTATTGTTCTTGTCCCAAAGTGCGATTGCACGTTCCCCATCGGTCATCGTGGCATCGCTGCGTCTCATTTGTTGCCATGGACGATTTCGCCGTGTGGCTGGAAGAGTCCAACTCTGAAAGCGTCGAGTGCGTGGGCCGTCAGTGTTTCGACGCGGATGGGTGCCTTCCTCCTGGACGACCAATAGTGATACATATGTATCGCCGCGAGCAGTAGTTTCTTCCTGGTGAGAGTTACTGGTCTCGCATTGCCGTTGGTGTTGTTGGAAGTTGGAGATCTAACTTCATCTTTGGGAAAGTGGAGATACATCATCGTCGATTTCCTGTTCAGACATGCGATGCGCTGTGAAGATGCAGTGTACCTGGGGTTGGAAGTCATCTTCGCCGCATAGGGTGCATAGGACTTGCTTGAGCTTGGCTGCTGTCATCGGCCCCATGTTGGATAGAAAGGTGTGGCAGTGCGTACATGCGACTAGTTAATCTGCTAACGTGGGGAAATACTACTTACATAGAGGGATCTTGTAGAGTTAGCTACCACCCCGACGAGATCACTTGCAACTATTCAGACGAGTGCAAGGTAATGCAAAGTTCGCTTCTTATTAATTCATAATCTGTGTTGTGAGCTTTGATTTGATGCGATCAGTAAAGCTAGTTGTAGCGTGTTGGATCAATTCATCGTGGTAGTTGATACGGAAGTCAACGGTGGTATCTGCGGGAAACGGTTCGTTGCAGGATGCTTTACTCCTTTCGATTACTCCAATTTAACCGTGTTCCTTTGGTTTCGTTGAGATCTTGTTCTTGCCAGCGTTCTCTGTTTCATCGTGTTGACTCATAAAAACATGACTCAATCTACCCACGGATACTCTGAGTCGTGGGAGTAACTGTAACGCTTTCAGGTGAGGAATAGGTTGAGGTAGCTGAAAGCTATTGTGTTTTGTTAACAAAATGCACTACGCAAAAAGCTAGTGTAAAGATCTTTCGAGTGTTTTGAGTTTTGAGAGAATGAAAGTTATGAGAGGATTAGAAGCTATGAAAACTAATCACGGAGAGAGAATCCAACACCAAAGGATCGTAGATCTGAACTCCCGCGGGAGACTGTAGAGTGTGATGGAGTAGGTTGCGGTAGCAATCCTACTCACTCCACGATCTCAAAACGGAACGCGTGGAAGATTCGTCTGCATTTATCTAGTATAGTGGAAGTACTCCACGCTGGCTAAATATCATGAGCGATGTTTCATCATCAACCTAGTATGACTAGAGCGGTCATTTGAGAACCCTGTCTCAATGACTATTCACAAAGACTCAGTCATTGAGTGAACTCAACCCTATCTAGATGAGTCGCGAGATAAGGCTAAGAGCCGTGTATTGCAAGAAGGCGGAAACTGGCCGGCAGGAGACCCAATGAAGCAGTGGTGGTGTCGAAACATCGTCGGGTGAAGGATCAGAGGAGCGCTGGTCGTCCAACAAAAGGGGGTTGTCCTGTAGAATCCATGGGCAGAAGGGATTACAGACAGAGACAGGAAAGAAACGTAGTAGGAGTAGGGATGAAACGACAGGGTCTGCGGCAAAGAGATGGGCGGAGAACCAAGTCGGAAAGTAGTAGTCAAGTAAAGTAGTAGTTGAGGAAGTTGTTGGGAATAGCTGGAACCGGTCAAGTTGTACCGGCTTGCCAATAGCAGGAGACTAGAAGCACTTCGGTAGAGATACAAGGCACTAGCGGTAGCGTAGTGTGGGCATCATAACCTGTCAAGAGACCTATCAATCAGTGTAATGTCATGCTAAAGGATAAGTGAGAGTGCAGTGTTGCTGCTTATCTAGCTATTTGGTCTGTCCTTCGCGCAACAGGCGGATCTGACTCATTACTTAGTCGTTCTGACCACCAAAAAGGCGGTGAAGGATTTCTGTGATGGTTCTTCGGTTCAACTTGGGGCCGAAATGGGTGTTGCTGTGGGTCCCATTGATCGTGGAGTCAATTCTCAGCTAGCCACTGGAGACTGGACGCTCCATCCAGCCTGTGCTTATGCACATTTCACAAGGGTTGTTTGTTGCAATGAGCTTGGAAGGGAGTGTGGTGTCGGTTCGGAACGATGTCAATGCCAAGTTTTACGGCCGACAAGTTTCACCCAAGGCTCTACTGAACACTCCAGGTCCCAAAGCTGCCGAGCCTCTTTACAAGGCTCTGGATGGTGCGATGCAAGGACATATTCCTAACAAAGGTTTCCGACCCAGTACTCTGTTTAATGGAAATGCCGCTGCGGGCTGTGATGTCTATCAAAACCATCCACAGCGTCCAGTTTACTTGAATCAGCATTGTTCCTCGCCTCCACCTCCGGTCATACCAGTCCCAGGTTGTTTTGGACATGCGGACACGGATACGCCCCCACAACAAATTGCTTCTGGGAGCATGGAATCTTATCACACTCACTCCCATATCCTTCCAGGAGGACACACATACCAGCAACCCCAGTTTGGTTCAATACGACCACAGACCATTGAAACGATAAATCCAGGACCACAGCCGCTGTTTGATGCATCATCGCCCGGCAGCGCTGGAGGTGGCTATGCACATGGCTGGTAGCGATATCGAGTTCGAGTTGACACGTGTGTGGCGACTGTGGCCCACTCTAGTATCGTTAGAGGCTGTAAATAGTAGTTTAAAGGCGAATTAAATGGTGCTGCGCGCCACCTTTGGAAAATTGCCAAAAATCTCAAGCTGCTGCAGGTGTAAATCAAGGATACACAGCCCAACCCAAAATCACTGCATTATCTGGAACAAGAGTTAGCTCGCCAACTTGTGACCACTATGTCGCCGGAATGGACACAGGACGTAAAGAAGCATCCGAAGCCACGACAGATTGGAATCCCAAAGTCACTCTGCAGTGAGACTCACTCATTCCAACCAAACCAACAGTGTGTTCAATCTCAGGTCGAAGCAATGCAAAATTGACCTTTACTTTGAAATTCCCTTTGGCCATCTACAGGTAGTCTGTTTCAATAGGGTGGGCCCTTCTATCATGTTGACGGGAAAGAGTAAATCCAAATATGTGGAATTGGTTTACTATGAATGCACAAAGTACAGTGCCAGCAGAGCGGCCAAACAAAAGTATATACACATGGCTGAGATGCTACCATTCAAGCAGCCCAAAGCCTAAGCAAGAGCCCGTCCAGACGGGGTCCGCGGGCAGGCCAAACTCAACGTTCGAAGGTGAAGTTTTGACCTTCTTTTACCAGTCAAAATCTGAAACACGTGCACACGGCTTGGCCCCCGGCCCCCTGGTCAACTTCGATATCGAAGTTGACCACCCCATCTCAGGTGAAGTTTTAGTCTTGTTATCACAGTCCCTATCGTCTTTGGGTCAATCTTGGACCAATTCGAGATTTTGGAAGAAGAAAACATCGCTAATCCAAGAAATCGCTACGTACCTCCATGGCGCAACGACTACATCTACCATGTGTTAGAATAACAGGCAACAATAGCAGAACAACTAGTCCTTAAAGTAGATATAGAGATTACTGTATTACTGTATGTAGATGTAGATAGATTGTTGCTCGCTTGTGTTGTGGTGGAGGAAGCTGCTGCAGAATTCGCCAGTTCCTCCATTTCTTCTTTTCAGTTTGTGTAGATCAATCGCGACCATGAGCAACAAGAGACCTCCTCCACTCCCTTCCCAACTATCAAGAGACTCTCCTAGTGGTAGTAGTGGAGAGGAAGATGATGAAGAGATACCCCGGTCTTCAGTTGGTTTGCCATGGGCGAAAGCAACAACTGAGACCACTTCGGTTGTCCCAAAAGCAAACGTTCCTCGCAGAATTGATCAGTCGCAATCGCAACCATCAACGACCACCCCACAGCCACCAGCAACAGTCAAGACTTGCCGTGAGATCCTCGCCAGTTGCAAGCAAGACCAGAAGAAGGCTCTCATGATATGCATGTGCCTTGGGCTCTTAACTGAAGATGGAACTCGTTGGCTTGCTGATCTGACAGAAGAGCCTTATTGCAAGTTGTCGGCTTCGAAACTGTCCAAGTTGGCTCGGACCAAGCCAATGATGTCTGAAGAAGTTATCAGAAGAGCCCATGAACGCAAGGTTGTCAAGTGTTTCCCTCGTCCCAAGAATTGGAGGAACGAAACTCTGTACGGCCATCTCAAAGCAAATCACATCACCAGCGAAACTGACATTGCATTCCTTTGTGCACAAGAGAATGCATTTTTCCATGCTTGTGAAAACATGGTAGAGGAATCAGCGCAACAAGAAGCGGCAGAGGCGAAGCAGAGTTCGTATCGATGGACCGATGCCGATCCAAGACCATTCTATCGAATGTACTTGGCTGCCGAAGATGATCAAGTCAAGGCCGCACTGGTTGAAGATGGCAAGTGTTTGTCAAAGGCAAAGCTGGATGGTAGAAACAGTGAGGATCTGCCGATTACTTTCTTCGCGGCTCTGGCTGAGAAATGGAACAGTGACTGGGTAGCTTCGACACCAATCCTACCAACCCTCCACGGTGACTTTGAAAAGGAAATTTCGATTGGCCCAGAGGATGTGCAACAGCCAGTGACAACAGAGTACATCACCAAGAAATGGAAGAATGACAAGATGCTACTAGCCAGATTGGTCAGTCGCTACGAAGGATCTGGTCACGGCTTCGGAATGATCGATGGTCGCACAACCTTTGGCCATATGACCGAAGAGGCACTTCAAGCTGATGATAGAAAGGATTATCTATGGGAACAGTTCTCTGAGAAGCCACGGCATCTGCTTCTGTAGCATCTTTCTGATCAATTCGGTATCCTAAATCATGTCATCACCAGAATGTCGAAGGCTACCTCTGCAACAGGGGATGAGGTGGACACGAAAACGTCCAAGCCAAAGAAGTCGAGGAAGAAGAAGAAGAAGAAGAAGGCAAAGAGAAAGAAGACGTCTGATGACAGCAGCAGTGACAGTGACCAAGATGGAGCCTTTAAGTTTCGTGCTTCCCTTGCTGATTCGCAACAGGAACAAGCGTATCAGTCAGCGATGGAGAACCTACAGAATGCTACCACTCGCTTGACTCAGGTTGGATCTCATGCGTCATCGCCGACACAATCCTGATGATGATGAGAGCGAACTCCTTCTTGCTGACCAAATGCGACTTCAAGAGGAGATTGTTAACAAGTTGAAATCAAGAGTCGAGTCAATGGAGAAGAAGAAAGCATCTGACTAGTTTATGGGTGGCCTCTTGTACATTCCGTCGGCCACTATCTTATGCATTATGTCTTGTGGCAATATTCCCTATTCCGATTCCTTCTTCCGACGTCTTTCCTCCCTCCTCAAATGACTTCTATCTACGTCGTCAAAGTGTTCGCCTCCATCCAACAGCTCTCTTGGTGAGCGGCTATCCACAACAACAACACCTCCAAGCTCAATCTCAAGCTCATCTGCCGCCAATGTATCGAGTTGGTAGTCTTCTTCTTCTTCCTCTTCATTATCCTGCAACACCTCCCTTCCCAGTCGCCTATCAATGCAGAAGTTGTGCAAGCGACAAAGGCAAATGGCCAAGGCTGTTATCTTTGCCAACCCCATTGTTGCCGACAGAGCTCTGCGCAGAATTCCCCATCGATTTACCAGCATGCCGAAGGAACACTCTATCTTGATTCGAAGTTGCGAGTGGTAAAAGTTGTAGTCATCTTGTGTTCCTCTTGCCGTCTTGAAAGGTGTGGCCATGTAAGTGTTATTGACGTATGCGCAGTCACCAAACAGACACAGCCCTGGAGCTAACAGCTTTTCTTCTAGCATATAATACAGAGGACTGGTGACAAACGCAAGATAGTCAGAGCAAGAAGCCGGATTCTGCACACACACATCTATAAGTCTGGCTTCATGGTCACAGACGGCTTGTAAGTTCAACCCAAATCGCTTCTTCCTTCCGCAGAAGAATCTCTTTTGTTCTGTATCTGCAACCTCGCAGTCAGCAAGATGTGGTTTTTCTGTCCAGAGCAGCATGCAATCGATAGCTCCAACGCAGCACGTAAAGCCTGGTTGACTTCTCTCACTGAAACCTCTTGCAATTGCTTTCTGTCTGTTGTGTTCTTTAGGGAAAGATATAGCGAGCTCTGGTGCCTTGCACGTATTACAGGCATCCACTACCATCCATACACTGACAAAGACAGATGAGTGAGAGATGCCATGCATCACGGAGATATTGTACGAAGAACCACCAGCGAAATATCGCAGTGCAACGCTGAGTCGAATGGAACTGCTTATCTTTCCATTTACAGCACCTATGTCTTGCTCCTGCTTGGTTCCTGTTCCTGTGTTGGCCTTTCTTTTGGATGCAGCATTCAGGTAAGGCTTCAATAAATGGTGCAGTGCCCAGAAGTCCTGTTCAGTCATTCGAAAGGCTCTCTTTACATACCCTGGTCCCATCTCACGAAAGATGCTGTGGACCATTCTTCTCTTGCGTTTAATAGGTGGGGTGTTATGTCTTCCAAGGCCGTCATCTTGTTCATCGAAGCCAAAGAGAGACGGATCTGCTTCCAGGAGTGTTGCCGTGAAGCTTGCCAACGTTCGCAACCTTTTGATGATTCGAGAACCATGGCCATAGCGCCCTGCTTCAACAGCTGTTGGCTGGAGAATAAACGAGATAACAAGAAGCAACAAGAGGTACATTGCATTGACTGCTATTTTATGGTCTACTATGGTCTATTATCCTCAACAAGAGCCATGGCATTGACTATCAACAGAGGAGAGGTGCAACTCCATCTATTCAGACTCCCACGAGTTTTATCAACTCCCACTTGAAAACGTTGCCTCAAAACTTCGATTGAGGGTGCACGCGGTGTGGAGAGGGTAGCCAAGTTAACCTGTTAACTCGAGTTTTGAGGTGCACTTGTCAACTAGGATTCGAAGTTCCACCCATACCCCGTCTGGACAGGCTCTAAAGGTCACATTCAATAATCTAGCACAAGATTTAGCTCATCAATATTGACCTCAATGTCCCCTGCAATTGGACACAAGAAAGTAAGTAAAGAGGCATCCCAAACACACACCGAAGAGAAGCACCATGAAGATTACGCAAAGCAAGCGGGAACACTCACCCATTCCAACCAATGAACGATGACTCTCTGTTGAGTACTCGATCTCGGGTTCCGGCAAAGCAAAATTTGCCTTGACCTCTAGCTTGACATTTCCCTTGTTGCCGTCTAGTGGCAGTTGCTTTAGCAGGGTAAAACCTTCCATAATGTTGATTGGCGATAATCGCTCGGTTCGGAAGCCAATTCGGGCATATGCCTTCCATGTTGACAAATCCACTGCTGCCCGAAATCGCAACCGAGTCACAAGATCTTCCACGGCACCTTTGAAGAGTTGAAACAGAGACGCAGATGGAGCGAATGTGAATTGTAATTGCAGAAAGCAATGTTATTGTGTACTTTTCTGTGGTTTCTTACCAACGCTCAATTGCCATGATTTGCTGAGTTGAAGTTCTTTTCCAGCAAGAGTTATCTTGCCTCCAATTATGGCATCTTCCCAACTGCTCTTGAATTGCCAAACACCCAGCTGTGTATTGAAATCAGCTCCAAGCCGAACTACAGTTTTGAATGGTTTGAATTGCTTGCGAATCTTGATGGTTGTGGATGGCTCCACGCGACACTTGAACCGTGGCAGATTCTTGACAGCAGGTGCAATATTACAAGTCCACCATCCTTGGACAGATTGAAACACGGAGGGTCTCGATGTGTTGAGTTTGCTGAATCGTGGTCCCCCAGTAGAGGTGCCACCAGGAGACCCCGGTATAGTGTTGCTGCCTCCTCCTCGTCCACTACTGGGATAAAAGCTGCTGCTGCCAATCAGAGGCGATCTTGTTGCCGATAAGGGCACTCGCTGTCGTTGTGATGTAGGTGTAATGGGCGAGTTGCTTGTTTCGTCAGCACTGACATCATCGTCTCCCCTATTCTGGAATGATGAGTCGTCTCTGTTTTGGCCGCCTCTGGTATCAAATAAATCAAACTCTCGTCCCAAGCCGGATGTTTTCCAACCTCTCTGTACCGGGAAGACATCATCATCTCCTTCAAAAGGACGACCTGGTAACCGAATCGATAACTTAGAAGAGGACCTGGGGTAGCTGGACGATGATGTTGATGCTGATGTTGCTTCCACTATTGTCATGGTGTGCATCCAGCATCCTATAAATGCTCCCATTAACAGGCTCAACAACATCATCTTTGGCTACCCTCTTATGAGATGAAATGCACTATGATATGTATGTTTTGGAGGCTTCGATACATCCGTCCTGCCAATTGCCAATGGCCAATGAGATTGTATGGAATGGTTTCTCGTTTGTGGGTTGGGTATCCGGAACCATCAATCGTTCAAAATTCAATTCAAGCCGTGGAAGGTTGGTCTGGCCGTTGCTCCTTCCTCGCGAATTGCCGTGGACTGGAAAGAGATCCTTGGACATTCGGAAGATGGGGTAAATCTAATTTTGATATTAAGTATTCAGACTAAGTGATCCTGCTGTAGCTAGCTGAAGCTCTCATCCCGTATGGCACGAAAGACAGGTTTCCAGATTTGCAGATTTGGTACCACTGGCATGCATGAAGGGCGCCAAAATGCATGGTAGGTTTACATAGATGGTGTGTCTATTTCTGCATCACGAGATTTTCTATGCCGAAGTAATTGAGTGTTTTAACTCCTTGGTTGAAGGAATAAGCTCTGTATTTCCGCAACCGCTGAAGCTGACAATGACCTGCGTGGTGCGGGCCATATGCATGATGGCTTTACTGCTTGTCAAGTCTCCTCATCTTGTGATTTTGTCCCCTCTCTAGCTTGCTTGCCAGCTGCCGGTAGCTATGATATGCATATTATCAGATAACCATTGTCCCTATGTACCGGTACCGGTAACTAGCTCGGTACCGGTACCGGTAGTCTACCGACACCGTACGGTAGATACTGTACAGACACTAATCATATACCGGTACTCAGAGACAATGAGGACAGAATGAAAGCAGAATGCATGTACATTACTGTAGACGTACGTACCGGTACCATACCAGGCACATACATGTAAACCGCTTTCTCGCTGGTTTTGTCGTTGCTTCCAGTCTTGCAGCCTTTTAGTCAAACGGCTTCAAGCAAGAAGCAAGAAATTAGCAAGGGCCCTTTGCTTGCATTTCCTCATGCTGTCTGAGATCGAGCAAAACATTGCTGTGCTACATACCATTACCATTTGCGAACTACTAATACCTTCCCCGCCCACAATCACTCACCATGACGACTTGCTTCTCAGATAATAGTCGTCGACTCGCTGCTCTTGTCGCTCTGCTGGTGACAGCCGCCTGCGCCTTGTGGAGGCTGGATCACTCGTTTTCTACGGATGGCTCTTCTTTCATCAAGCATCATTATCTATTGCTCCAAGAGCAATTGAATGAAATGAACACCGAGCAGCGATTCCTCAGGGGAGAGTGAGTGGCCTCATGGCGAGGCGAGGCGAGGCGAGGTGAGGCGAGGCGACGAAAGGGGTTGTTGATGATCAACAGTCTTCTATCAACAAGAAACAGAAGGCCCAATGGATCTTGGCCAGCCCAAAGGACCGCTTATTTGATGTCAAGCAAGGTTCCATGCCATCATTCGTTCGCTTCTTTTGACAATGAGTTAAGATGGTGTCATGATCCAGAGGAAGATGAGCTTCGCTGTTTCGACTTGTTGCGAAACTAGCTACAACGTGCCGGTAGCTAGGTAGATTGAATTCATTCATAAGTGCTTACATAGCGACCCTTGCAAGAAATTCACGTCTGGCCCCTCAGAAATGAGTGACTCGGTCGAGCTAGCTAGCCAGCCGACAATTTTTGTGGGCGTAGTAGAGGATCTGCAGTCGATCATGGAATTTGAAGCAAAAGCCGGAAGCCCCAGAGTCCATCGTAGCCGTTTGCCGTCCCTTAACGCAGCTTCGTCTATGGGCTACCGGTATTTTAAAATACCGGTCAGGGACATTACTCTGCCGATTTGTAGGCAAGCCACAGAACGCGAAAACGTTGCGCGAGAGACTACCTGTAGTCTATTCCGCGGATTTTGCTTGACATAGAAATTATCAGGTCCTACTATAGTTAACTATTGGAATAACATCCCGTTTCTTATAAGCCACTATGAAATAAAAGTCTTCCTTCAGCCAAAGAAATAGGCCTAGCTAGCTGTGGGTTGTGGCGCCGGGAAGGGCGCCAGATCATAGCGAGAAGGAAGGCATCATACGGTTGTTGTTGTTGGGGGTGGCTTCACCGCAATGATCTCGATTTCGTCATCATCGTCTTCAGACGACGGGGCACTTGCATCCTGGCTGACTCTGCGAACCATTGGAACTGCTTCCATTGCTGGAGGCTGTGGTGCAGGTTCTGGTGCTGGCGCAGGTTGGAGTTGTAGCCCAGACGGCGGGCCTGCGGGGCCACCCATGGACATTTTGGACCGCATTGGCATAGCCATCTTCATTGCCGAGAACTGCCGATCGTCGTGCTTCACCGCATGCTTGACATCTTCAGCCACAGGATCCAAGCAGATCTCGTCCTTCTTGTGCATCTCGGCGTCTTTTGTCACGCCTGGGGCCAATCCATCCGACGTGCCACCAGGAATAAGCTTTGTGGGGGATGGTGTCGTATGCAGTTTCTTCAGAGACTCGCAGTGATCGCGCACTTTTTGCAGGGTAGTCTTGAGCTCATCGTCGTCGCTCCAGATCATAAAGTACTTGCGGTCCATGGGACAACGGCACATGTAGTGACTGTGACGAAGGCAGCTCACTTTCGACTGGCTGCATTCGCAAGCAACGGCAGAGAAGAAGCAAACATGCTTGCACGCATGACAGAGGCGCTTGTCGTCGTAGTCTGCGCTCTCTGAGTCTAGCTGATCCAGCCGATTCTTGGGAAGGTTGATGAGATTGGTAACATCGCGCACACCCGCTTCCACAAGCTTCGAGCGAAGGCGGAGCTCCTCTCCCACCACCCTCTCAATCTCATCCAGCAGCAGCTTGCATGTGGAATATGTCTTTTGTTCGCGAAGATGGTTTGCCATCGTGAAAGTCAAGCGGTCATGACTAAACACAGCTGGCCGGGCAAAGGAGCGGTATCTTTCATTCGCATCGGACCCATACGAAATCCAATCATGCGTGGCAAAGTTCACTGCCTCGCCAACATTGGGGCCCAAACTGAAACCACCGTGAAAGGCACGAGGGAAGGTGATGACATACTCTCCCTCGTGCTGCAGGAGCTTGTACACAGGAACATCGGCGTTTTGCAACAACCGTGGACTAAACATGGTCGTGATGTGATGGAGCAGATCGGGGACATCACGCATCTTCATGGACAAAAAGTTCTTGAACACTTTCTCCAGGCCATCAGCCGCAGTCATGTTGCCTGGGACGCCATACCATTGCTTAGGGGCACCTTTGTGGTGGTAGTTGATGCTGTAGAGATAGTTGTCCTCGTTGTGCCAGCCTACCGATGAAAGCGCAAGCAAACGGAGAATGAATGAATTAGACCACGTATCAGAAGATCGACATCCATTACTAGTCAGTCGGCAGCAAACCGGCAAACTCACAGAAAGTTGTAAACAGTGCCCCATAGTACATCCAGGGCACGTTGATGCCGTTGATTCCAACCTTGACATGCCTTAGGACACTGTCTGGAGCACAGGGGATGTTGTTCAGGTTCCACCACGTCTCCCTGTAGTAATCTTCCGTCCCAAACTTGGGTTCAGGCAAAGCCATCTTTGCGGGGTCCTTCTTGCCATAGATGGAACGACCTCGCTCCGACAGAGGGAATCCAGATCCAAACTCGTCCGTGTTGACATCATTACCGTACTCGACGACCAGTTGGCGCGAATGGGACTCGATGATATCCCAATAATCCCGCTCGAGATTCTCAGGAATGAAACGTTTCCTATTGCGGTTCTCCTGGACTCCTTCTTCTTCCTCCTTTCCCGAGTTTACTAGCTTGGTCATCTGTTCATGGTCGGGATAATGCTTGGCCTTCCATTCTTTGGCCCTCTGACTCGCCATGTGCTGGTACTGACCGGCAGAGTACTCGACACCGTCTCCAAAGCTGATGCCTTCTTGGATGCGATGCAACAGCTGCTGCTTGGTTTGAAACCGTTTGTCACCTTTCATGTCAACACCTGAACATCGTAGAGCACGTGAAGGACAGGGGACACGGACACAATGAGTGATGAACGAAGAGGGTATATATCTAAAGATCTTGTGACGACAACATAGCCAGCACACTCGACATGTCGCGTGCGACATCCTCGACACCTGCGCAGGACAAATGCGAACTTCAACAGAGCATCACAACAACACCAAAGGACCATGACGCAATTGCCGCTCCTTCCGGGGCAACCAGTCCACAAGAAATCAAGCGGATCAACACCATTCGAACTTTGAGTCCAATGCAGACACCCGCAAGTTGAAACGAGTTGACGCTTCCTTGAACTCGCAGAGATACAACATAAAAACATAGAATGTAGAAACCGGTACATAACTTACAGAATGGAGCTGGCTTCCACCCTTTCGGAGGGACGATCTTGCAAATGCCATACTTATCGGCAATAGGACGAATCTTCTCGACATAGTGAAGGGGGTTACCCTCCATTTCCTCGACGGTTGGGTAGAAAGTAGGTGCCCATTCTACATCTAGCTTACCGTCTCGAGGCGGGCGAGTCTTCTCCAGTTTCCCGCTTTGGATGGTCTGGTGCAGGAAGCGCTGCTCTTCAGCGGAAATTGAATGGTAGGTACCATGCTGGTGCCGTCGGCGCCTACGCTTGGACGCTCTATGCCCGAATGCACTCATTGTGCAAGTTAGTATCGGTAGGTATTAGCAACCTATGAAGATAGATGGACCAGTTCCAAGTGCCAACTTGATGATGGAGCAATAGTGTTTGAACATGATGAGAACATGGGGTTGATCGTTGAATGCTTTGTGCAGTCTTTGCGACCACCCGTTCTATCTGCATCCAAAGTTTTAACGGGTTCGCCACTGTCGACCAAAAAGTAGATGGGTGTTAAATGACATTTCCAGTCAGAACAATTTCCCATGTTGAGAAGTCCTCTTTCAATGTCAACCGTGAATGTCAAAAGAAGATTCTCACGAGCTATTTGTCGCCAAATATTTCGAGGTTTCCAAAATGGCTAAATAACTCGCTTCAGATTCTTGATTAAACTCCAGCTCTAATGGATTTCTTCAAGCCCTTCCACGTGGAATGCCTCCATCGGTCTGATCTTTCGTCGGCTTCGAAAGCTCCGAAACATGCCCATCATTTTCTTGCGGTAACAGAAGCAGGAGCTGGTTTCATTGTAGTTGCAGCGTTGCAGCAGTTAGTAAGGACTCAAGTAAAACCTTACAAAGAAGAAGATAAGAGAATAATTGGAAGAAGAAGAGAAAGAAGAAGAACGAGAGAGCAAAATGTCTCTCCCTCCCACGCTAGATTTTGCCAAGGCAGAAGAAGAGATCTGCAAAAAGTGGAGCGAGGAAGAAACCTTCAAGACCCAAGATAAGCTGAGTTTGGAGCGTGGTGATGAGGTAAGTAGTGATGGTTGTTATATGGATGAATATGGATGAATTTTGAGGAGAGTGGTGGAGCTAATGAAAAAAATCGTGGCTGTTGTAGGAGTACACGTTCTACGATGGACCGCCCTTTGCGACTGGGTTGCCCCATTATGGGCACATTTTGGCTGGAACCATCAAGGATACCGTCACTCGTTACGCGGTCATGTCTGGCAAACACGTAGAGAGGCGTGCTGGATGGGATTGTCATGGTCTTCCCGTGGAGTATGAGATTGATCAAAAACTGAAGATTACACACCGAGATCAAGTGCTGGAAATGGGCGTCGACAAGTACAACGCCGAATGCCGATCCATCGTCACCCGATACACGAAGGAATGGGAATCGACCGTCACTCGGCTAGGAAGATGGATTGACTTTGAGAATGATTACAAAACGATGGATCCTACGTTTATGGAAAGTGTCTGGTGGGTATTTCAGCAGCTCTTTGAAAAGAACTTGGTCTACCAGGGGTACAAAGTCATGCCCTACAGTACTGCGTGTTCGACCCCCCTTAGTAACTTCGAGGCTGGTCTGAACTACAAGGATGTCCATGATCCAGCCATTGTCGTCAGCTTTCCCGTGGTCGGTGAAGAGGACGTTTCTTTCATTGCTTGGACAACTACGCCCTGGACACTCCCCTCGAACTTGGCCTTGTGTGTCCACCCCACCATGGATTACGTCAAGGTTCTAGATAAAAAGGCCGAAAAGACGTACATCATGGCAAAGGCTCGTCTACCTCAGCTCTTCCCCATCATGAACAATAAGAAAAAGTGGAAGCCGGCCATGGCGGATGACTTGTACGAAATCAAGGCAGAAATGAAAGGACAGGAGTTGGTGGGCAAACGATACAAGCCCCTCTTTGACTTTTTCGCCGATACTCCCGAGGCAAGGAATTACTGGCAAGTAGTGTCGGATACCTACGTTACGGATGATGCCGGTACGGGTGTGGTTCATCAAGCACCGGCTTTTGGAGAAGACGATTACCGTGTCTGCCTGGCCAGTGGAATTATCATCAAGGGAGGGGAAATCCCTTGTCCCGTAGATGCCAGTGGAATGTTTACCGACCCTGTCAGTGTCGTCAAGGGCCAACACGTCAAGAAAGCCGATGCCGAACTCATCAAAATCCTCAAGGAGGATGGACGGTTGGTCCAAAAGGGAGATTTGCTTCACTCGTATCCATTTTGTTGGCGATCCGACACTCCGCTCATATACAAGGCTGTGCCTTCGTGGTTTATCAAGGTGGAAGAAATTCGCGACAAAATTGTGGACAACAACAAAAAGACCTACTGGGTGCCTGCCAATGTCAAGGAGGTACGATTCCACAATTGGCTTTCGGAAGCACGAGATTGGGCTGTTTCCCGAAATCGATTCTGGGGAACACCCATCCCCATCTGGGCCAACGATGACTTGACTGAAACCATCTGCGTGGGAAGTATCGATGAGTTGGAGAAATTATCGGGAGTTCGTGTGGATGATCTGCACAAGGACGTGGTTGACAAGATCACTATTCCCTCCAAAAAGAACCCTGGCACTGTCTTGAATCGAGTCGAAGAGGTGTTTGATTGTTGGTTCGAATCTGGTTCCATGCCGTATGCGCAAAAGCACTATCCATTTGAAAACAAAGAGGCCTTTGAAAAGGGATTCCCCGCTGACTTTATTGCCGAAGGTTTGGATCAGACGCGAGGTTGGTTCTACACCTTGATGGTGCTTTCCACTGCTCTGTTTGAACAACCTGCCTTCAAAAACTTGATTGTGAACGGTCTTGTTTTGGCCGGGGACGGTAAAAAGATGTCCAAGCGATTGAAGAACTATCCCGATCCCACACTTGTCATTTCAAAGTACGGTGCGGATGCCCTCCGTATGTACTTGATCAATTCACCGGTTGTTCGGGCGGAACCATTGAAGTTCCAGGAGCCAGGAGTGCTGGGCGTGGTCAAGGAAGTGTTCTTGCCATGGTACAACGCTGTGCGCTTCTTCTTGCAAAACGTGGACAGGTGGGAAAAGAACGGACAGAAGTTTGTGCCTTCTCCTGAAAAGGTAAAAGCAACCACCAACCCTACGGACATTTGGGTCTCGGCAGCAACTCAAGGGCTCATCAAATATGTCCATCAGGAAATGGGAGCGTACAGACTCTACACCGTAATGCCTGCGTTGGTCAAGTTTGTGGATCAGCTGACCAACTGGTATGTTCGCCTGAACCGTGACCGTCTCAAGGGACTAGAGGGAGAAAACCCCACCGAGGAGGCAGAGACCGGCCTGCAAGTGCTGTTTGACGTGCTTCTTGACGCAACCACTATAATGGCCCCTTTCACTCCGTTCATCACTGAATTCTTCTACCAGCGACTGCGAAAGTACTTGCCGTCGTACAAAGATGCTGAAAACGGAGGCGGAAAGTCCAACCCTGTTCTGCCCGGGAAGAGCGACTCAGTTCACTTCTTGAGACTCCCAGCGTACGATGAAAGCCGCCTCAACGAGAAGGCCGTTGAATCGATGGAAGCTCTTCAAGCCATTGTAGAGCAAGGGCGAACATGTCGCGAGAAGCGAAAGATTGGTTTGAGGACGCCAATCAAGTCGGTTGTGGCCATCCTGCGAAGCCCGCCTGAGCATGTTGTAGAAGCTCTCTCCGGCCCACTGAAAACATACGTACTCTCCGAGCTGAATGCGTGGGAACTTCAGTTGGTGCCGAAGGAACAGGCACATGATTGGGTAACCCTCGCGTTGACACCGAACTTCAAGGCGCTCGGAAAGAAGCTAGGGAAGAAGATGAAAGAAGTTGGCTCGGCTGTTCGAGCACTCTCACACGATGTACGTGTTGTTGATAGAGTTTATGTTTGGCTGGTTTGGTGATTTTTTATTTCGTTTTTTTCACCGTATTTCTCACTCTGGCGATCATCTCAACAGGATGCGGTCAAGGCCCTAGACGAAGGCAAACTGGAGGTCGCCGGTATCACACTAGATGCCAAGACAGAGTTGGAATCAAAATTGTCGTTTTCGAAGCAAGGCGACAACTGGGAAGCCTTGAGTAGTCAAGACGGTTCTTTGGTGGTCGCGATGGACTGTACCCAGGACGAAGCTATTCTGTCGGCTGGTAAGTCTCGAGAGCTCATTAACGGCATCCAGACCCTACGAAAATCTGCTGGGCTTGAGTTGGAGGACGTTGTCGAAGTGTTTTTCAAGGAGGAAGACGGAGTCACCGTTGTTGAAGATGCAGTCGAAAAGAATGTGCCGGTGTTTGAGGTCAAATTCAAAGGATCCATTCCTCTTCCCCAACGCTTTGCTCCAAAGTGGGCAGTAACGATCAAGTCGGAAGTTGTTGATGTGGGTGGCTCGAACGTTGAGGTTTCCATCTGTCGTCCCGCAGTTGCCGCTTCGGATGCTCTGAAGGATCCTGTTTTGGGAGTTTTCCCGACTTTGGAGCCATCAGACTTGAAGGAGGGTCAAGACTTCACGTTCAAGATTGACGGAACAGACCACACTCTCACCGAAGGCAAGGACTTCTGGTTGAGTTCCACTGCCAAAGCCAGAGCGACCAAGGCTGTTTCTTGGCTCTGAGCCCTACCGGTAGGATGAATACGGCTAGCTAGCGACAGTTAAGTTACTAAAAGCTAGCGATAGTTAAGTTACTAAGATCGTTTTATAGTCAGTGATGAAATTGTAGCAGCCTCAATGGAGTTGTTGCCGCTTGCTAGCATGGACTAGTATGCTGAACCACACTACAACGGCAAGAATGCGTCCCTGCAAAGGCACCTCGCAATCTTACAATCGTTCCTGACATATCGCTCCCAGGCAGTCTTCAATCATCTTCCTTCTCAAGCTCCCTGGATAGGTAGACGAAGACAAACATACAGTGAGGACACGACATCTAAGAAATAGAGGTGCGAGAGGCATCAAGTTGTTTTCACTTACTCATGAATCTGTTCGGCCAGGTTCTCTCCCCACTGTTTGAAGTTTGACGCGCCATTGTTCCCTGGCTGGTCTTCCACAAGCGAGGCCAGCAAGCGACGGTATCCTGGCCGCTTCTCCAGAGGATCCTGCTGGCTATCAGGCTCGTCAAAATCGTAAATGATTGTGGGTGGTGTTCTGTAGCTTCGAACAGCAGCTTTGATGGCGTTGTCAAGCAAAGGCCCAATGCACGTCTTCTTGTTCTTCTTTGATGACGGGGAAGGACCGCTGCTAACATAACTAGCATCGCAAACTACGATGCAATCGGGAGCATCCAAAAATAATACCAAGTCAGGTCGTGGCTTTCCAGTTTTGGCTTCAAAACCAAATTCTCCTACGGATTGGACGACGGCCTCCATTTTCAAGTCCACCATGTCCAATATCATCCCTTCACCTGCAGACCACAATTGAAGCCTCGGAGCTATGCATTTCGACATGGTCGGGGGAGTCATTGACGACATTTGCGCACCCGCTGCACATCGCGCATCCGTCGTGGGAAGATATGATGATGTAGTCACGTTCATCTTGGAAGATGCCGTCGAAGGGCGAATCGCGTCGCAATGGAGAAGAGAATAGACTATGAGCGGCAAAGTCTTGATCAGCTCATGGCCCTGGCCCAGTAGAACATCTTCTGCCGACAATTCGCCTTCTCTATCCAAAAGTCGTTCGTTGGCATAGAAAGTCAGAGTCGTGTTGTCGTTGTTACTGTCGTACTTTGAGAGGCCCTTCTCGGCTTGCTCGCGTTGAAGAAGTTCTTCCGTTTCGGCAGATTGGTAAGCGCAGACGAGAAGGGACTTCAACCAATCCTCGCCAATGGTCTGAGCCATCGAGAGACCGTCTCGTAACAAGGTTAAGGTGAGTTTGTGGTAAAGAACAGACCCAATAACATCGGGGTCCATTGAAGAATATAGTGTTTCCACATCATCCGTCAAAGGAGTGCGCACACAGGCTATTCTCATCTGGCGAACTGCAAGGTACTCGCCCGGTTGTTCTGGGTCTTTAACGATGGCTGTGTAAGCGAAGCAGGTTTGCATGACTGGCTTCCAATTGATCTCTCCCATACCGTCGACTTTCAGTTTATCTTTTGCTTCTTTCTTTTTCATATCCAAGTCGACCGAGAGCGCAGTAAACGGGTCGCATGTTCCCATTCGCCAGAGGTTCCCGACGTCTTCTTCTTCGGATGCCGGCCCCATGATCCCTCCACTGGAGTACAATGGAGCCAACTGAGGCCCTTCGTCTACTTCATCCACCGGCGACTTGTCAACCTCAAAGCTAGGAGAAAGCCGTAAACGCAGTTCTCCGCCAAAAGCCATGGGCTGATGACAAGCACCACCGGCAGGTTTGTCGTCAGATTCCACCTCGCCACCGTCGTATGCGCCCCACGGGGCTCTGGCACAAACTTCTCGCTTCAGTCGTTGGATATCTGGATTGTTCGAAATCGGGGTGGCATAACCCTGGTGAACTGGGAACACCAGAGGCCCCGGCGCACCGCTGCGATCAGACAATCCACGCAAAAAGGGAAGTCCAACATCCAACTCAGCACTGTCCTCACAGCCATCATCGTTGGGTTGTACGAGGACAAAGATGTCTACGCCCAAAGCTGACTCGGCGCATTGCGTGCCAAGTTCGGTAAAGTAAGCTTCCACATGTTCTGGAGCTCGGTAATAATCCAACAAGCTCGAAGGAGTCATGTCTGTATCCAAATCTTCCTCCTCATCATCATCATCACCCGTTGCTGACGTACGAATGCCCGTTTCCTCGTCGTGAAGATGCCTTCGAAGAAACAGTTTCTTTTTGGCCTTCTTTTCGCTAATACGATTGCTAATACCATTCGTGCTTGGTTTTGTGACATCCTCCTTTTCTGCAGCTGGGGAAGCAGCATCCTTTTGGACAACTCCACCAAATCCTCCCAATCCCACTGTGGTTCGTGGCAGTGACTTTCGCGTGAGGGGCCTCCAATCCTCGCCTCGCAAATCCGTCGGACAACTGGCTAGAAATGACATGATTTTGCCACCAGCATAGAGTATATGATCCTCCAAGAAGGAGGAAGCCGCGTCCTCTTTTTCCGACTCGTCCGCTATATCGTCCGTTTGTCCCGGATGATGGGCTCGATCCATGTAATCCAGAACGGATTCAATGGTTTTTCCCAGTGGCATGCTGACCGTGTATGCCTGCTGTGTGGTGGTGAGTTGGGAGGGATCATAGTCCACCAAGGATCGAATGGCGGCGTGTATATTGGGTAAATGCAAGGAATCGGCCGGCACCAATGCCATTCGATCCAAGAGACCCCCATTTTCAAATAGTTGGCCGTTGTCGTCGTCATCATCATCGTCGTCATCATCTTCTTCGTCTTCGTACTGTACGTATTGGAGCATGTGTGGCATTGGACTGGTCAAATCCATGTACGAAAAAGTTGTTGCCGTTTCTTCCGATCCCGACGAGGGTACAGTGGCTGCCAACAAGATTCCCACGTGAACATGTGGAGGAATATCTTCCAGCACTTGTGGCAAGAGATGGGCCATGGTGTTCCAATAGGATCGATGGGTACAAGATCCATCCAGCAAGAACCAGCAGACAGGGGGGCATACTTTGGCAGGTAATGACCAATAGGTGGCTTCGGGCGTAGTGAGAAGTGGAAGTTGATAAATGCGTGGCGACTGATGATCCACCGAATCACCAGAACCGGAATACGGGGGTAACTGATCAATGGTAGTTTTGCCTCCACATAGATAGCACAAGAGGAACGAAGGGGATGCATCGGCAGACATGGAATAGGGAGATGGCCAAAAGTGGGTCTCTTTGGTTGGATGAGGAGCTCCACATTGCATGCATTTGGGTATCGAAGCCAATAAAGGATAATTGTGATGAGCATTGGCTGTTGGTTTCTTGGGTAGTTTAGTCGTTTGATCCAGTTCCACAGAGACTGTTGTTTTCATGGGTGTCAAAACACACGAAAACGGAAGATTGGAATCAGCCAGAGTGTCGGCATCCTTGGGGAATCGGCGGATAGTTGGTTGGATTAACGACATGGCGGCTGAATATAAGCTAAAGTAAAAGGATACTAGCTAGTTGGTACCGGTATCTTTTGGATCTGAAGGATAGCAAGGGGAATCTTTGGCAAAATTAAAGCCTGCCGAGAAACAAAGAACCTCTTATGCTGAAGCAGCCGGCTAAAGGGCAACTCTTTGAAGTACCGAGGTCAACACGTCCTCTTTGCAACTAACAACTAATAGATAGTTTGTTGATCGGCTGTTGTGTTGTGTCTGTTTGGTCTTTGGTGGCATTTTCCCAATTCAGCCACAGCTTCGCCAAGACCGCGGATCTTTGACGAACGGTTCGGAGGCCAGATGCGTCACGCTCGGGATTCGAAAAAAGCCCCAAAAAGTTCAGAGCCCAATTCACTCACACTCACCATGGCGTCCTACAATTGGCGCCCAGGCGATGCAAACAAGAGCCAAACAAGGAAATAAGATGAGGAGATGAGGAGAGTGCATCACTTCCGGCACTAACCAAGCTGCTTCATCCTGAAATGCATCCTGATCCATACCACCTGCTTCCTCCCAGACGTAGCAACCTGTCTCTCATCCGCTGCACCTGTGGTGGATCGCCAACTGCTGGAATTGCAGAAATGTTACCAAAGCCATTATCACAGCGACACGGCTGCTGCTATTAGTAGGAGTAGTAGTTCCAGCCGAAATCTGCTGCAGCGACGACACGCTGCCGAGTTTCTCGATGATTCTCTGTTCCACAAATTTGCCCGTACTGTCTGTCAAGCCAATGCTGTACCACGAAAGGAACTTTTTGAGACTTGGGCAGTTGCCATTCATATCCAGCATCAGTTTTCCGATTGTCGTCGTGTGGCCGACTTGGCATGTGGCCATGGACTCCTCGCTTGGGCATTGCTTGTTTTGGATGAACGACCACAAGAAGAAGAAATAATGCCACGAACAGCCGTCTGTATCGACAAACGAATGCCACTGTCTGCTGGAAAAGTGGCTGCTGCCATGCTCCAGGAGTACCCCAGCTTGCAAGGACGGTGGCATTTTGTGGAAGGAAAGTTAGGTGCCGTGACAATCAACAGCAAGGAACAAAATCAAGAATCATCGTCGTCAAGCAGCAACACACTTCTCTGTGGAATCCATGCCTGTGGCATCTTGTCGGATCAGATTCTTGCTCTGGCTGTACAGGGGAGTGCTCCCGTGGTGCTGCTGCCTTGCTGTCATACCAAAAAGTCTCTGGATGAAATGGAACGAAAAGACTATGACCAAAATAACCAAATGGTTAGTGTACAACAAGACGGGCCCAAAAAGGAGGAATCCAATAAGGAAGGAAGCCTGGCAGAATTTGTGGACCTACAAAGGATCAAGCGTCTCCAACAGGCCGGATACGACGTACAACGAACCTACATTCCCCGACAATTCACGCCACAAAATTCCATTATCCTGGCATCTCCTCCCTTGACACAACAAAAAAGTCAGTCTCCGCCATCCTCACGGTCGAGTCGCTACCGAAAGGGGAGTTTGCCACACGGACATGTTCTCATACCGATTGATGACACAACAACAGCCAAGACGATCGTTCGCTCCATGGCGGGAAGAGACGCTGCCATGGCAAGAAAACTACCTCCGTCGCCTGCGTTTTGCGTCTCGTTGGCCATGCCAGAGGACAAGCATCATCACGTGAAACCAAAAGGCTTGTCAGCGCTGGATGGCATCCTGTCATCCAATGAGAAAAGGAGCACAAAACCAACGTATGGTGCCACTCTTTCTACGAGGATGACTATACACGTCGACTATGCTGACTCGGAAGCATTCTTTCATGCCAGTAGTGCAAGATACTTTCGGACTTTTCGTATTGAGTACGGCATCGATGCAAAGCTTGACAGAGATATCCACAAAGAGGCTGCCATGGAGCTTCACAAAGAAATGTGCCGCCAGATTCCAGTGGAGTTTCCTGGGTGCACTGTGAGATCCTAAAGACACAGGCCTACCGGTACGATACCATTCGTGATCCCTGGTACGGTACCGGTGTACAAAGTAAGGCGAGAGCGGACCTACCGGTATGGATGTAAATTACTCATTAGTTTGAACAAACGACCGGCCACGAGGTGTGACTTGAAGGACGAGAAGAAGCGGAGGCTGATCCTCGTCACAACACATCGTGGCGAGGCAGATCTACCGGTACTTTGGGGTCGCTTGAGTTTTAAAATGGCCAGAGACGGCTGCAAATGCAATACCGGTACTAGCTAGTAAATTAATTCATATTAGTTTATCTATCTCATGATTATAGGATCTCAATACTTGCGCCGAAACTCAGCAAAATGGATCAAAACATGAACCGCTGCCAGTCAGCTTTTCAAACGGATGCTTCCTGAGGACAGACGATGGTTCCGAGAGTTGTTCGAACATCACTTACTAGTTCAGACATCAGCTAGTCTTCAAACATGTAGAGTAGATTTGGAGGTGGATCTTCACCAAACATGGAGTTCCAGCCCGCGGGTGGTGCACACTCTAGATTTTCCAAAGCATACGCATCGTAGAAAATCATGCCAAAGCCGAAATCAGAATTGGCAGACACAGGCATCCCAATGTACCAGAATTTAGCTGGTTCATTGTTGAAGGAAAGTCAGAACTCACGTTGTTTGCCTCCATAGGACCCTTCCTTCGTGTATTTGGGTTTCCCAGCCAAGGATCCATCTTGAGTGTACACTCCATTCACATCTTCTTTCCCAGCTCCATCTACTTTGATTGCACATGGAATTCCTGCACCCAAGGGCTTTTCAGAAACCCATCTTTTCTTGCGACATTTTTGAACTTTTGCTGGTGCTAGTTTCTCCAGGGCTAGTGCCTGATTCTTGTATGCTTCTAATAGTTGCTCAGAACAAACCAAGCCTGAGGAAGCCACAGTTGTTGCTAGAAATTGAGGGTTGATTTTTTCAAAGGAAATGTGGTTGGAAAGATGCAACCCAGCATCCTTTCTGAGACTGGGGTCACCTTCTACCCAGATGCTCAAAATCTTGAACAGATCACATTCTGTCATTTCCATTTCTGAATCCATGATGATTTCCTCCAGGAGAGTTTCATCCAAGGAAGCCACATTATGCAGACACTGCTTCCGCTGGGGTGGTGCGAACCCATTTCTTGGCCTTGTCCGAAAGGACCACTGGCACTGAATTGCCAGTCAATTTGCATATCTGCAGCAAAGCAAAGGACATGCCAGGCTCTTTCTCAATGGTAGTTTCCAAGTATTCCAGGACAAGCTCTCCAAGACCAGCAAGATTGAAGTAGGGAGCAGCCTCTGTCAAGGGCACAACTAAGTCAAGCTGTTCCGTAGCCACTTCAAATTCCTTTGACTTCTTGGAATTGAGAGTTTGCACATTGTCCGTCAGTGCATATTCCACCACGGCCATGAGTACACTTCCTGAGAAGCCCAGCTCTACAATGGGCAATGATGCCTCTTGAAACTTGCCCAGCAGCATGCTATGAAAGACATCCGATCGGGCTGAGAGCAAGAATCGGTTTGCAGGAACTTCCACACCATCAGTCCCCTTGAGAATGATATCATTGAGACTGTCATCGGTCAGGAACTTTGCCAGCATCTCATCACGAGTCTTGCAGTAGGCTGGTTGCTTTGGATTGTTGATAGTAGAATACGCCAAGGTGGTCTTCGTCGCTCGTCCTCTCCTTGTGATTTTGGGAGGCGTTGCTCTCGTCTTTGTCAACCAATAGCAATGCTGATGAGACACGAGCGTGACCCAAAAGATTCACAACGGCCGTCGTCGCACTCTAGCGAAAGTCGCGAACCATTACCATACTTACAAGCTATCACAACACCGAGAGAAAGCCAAAGAGACATCAGGGGTTCCTGAGAATAGAAGTACAGTACGGTAACAGTCTGACTGACTGACAGTCTCCATCGCAAGGAGCAGAAACTAGCAACTAGGCAAACATGTGGGGCCAACTGGGACGACTGCAACAAGGAAACAACGATGAGGAGGGTGAAGCCACTTCTCCTGGCGGCAACAATCTGTGGTCACAACTCGGTTCGCGACTTTTGGAGGTAGCCGCCGATGTGGCCCAAGATTTGGCCCAACCACAAGACGAAGATGGCGACGAAGATGAAGAGTACTATGAAGAAGAAGGCGAAGGTTGGGATGAGAGTTTGGGCTTGGATGGGACTCCATCGTGGGAAGAACAGCCATCCCAACAGCAAGTAGAAGAAGAAGGCCAGTATTACGAAGGAGAGCAACAGGACTATGCTGGTGGAGAGGAACAGTACTACGAAGGGGAGCAGTACGAAGAAGGAGGAGAGCAGCAACAATATGCCTATCAAGAAGGTGAAGAGCAATACGCAGACGATGATCAACAGCAGCAGACTGGCTTTGATGCGGAAGACGGTTGGGGACAGGAAGAAGAAGTGGATTTTTCAAGGGAAGAGGAGCAGAATATTGCAGCAACAGAATCCCAGGAAAGCCAACCTTTGTTTGGAGCGGAAACAACTCTTCCACAAGCAGAGCAAGAGCCCATTGCAAATACTGGCGATGAGTGGGATTTGGAAGATGAAGATTTGTTTGACGATGACGAGCAGCAGGCTGAAGCCAGTCCGCAAGAGGAGGAACAGCAACAATTCTCGGAAGAATATAATGAACCGGCACCAGAAGAGCCAGATCAAAATGCCTGGGATCATGAAGAGAGTCTCAATTTTGGCGACGAACATGACACGGAAGGGGGAGCTGTAGCAGAAGAAGAGGGTGTGGATGAAAACGTTGCAAGTGCTGAAAACCCCGTGAATGAATGGGATCAGGACGATGTCTTGGATGAACAACAGAAAGACGAGCGTGTCAATGAAACTCAAATACACAACGATAGCTATGATACAGCACACGAAGATGGAGGCGGTGCTTGGGATGATGATGGCTTGGATCTTGATGGCCTCAACGAGGATCAAGACAACAACGAAACAGCATTGGCCGTTGATGAAACATTTGCCACTGCCCACCAAGATGCAGAAACAAGTGCATTTCAGGATACTGCAGGGGTCGAGGATAAAGCGCCACAATCAACTGACCAGGCCCAAATCGATTCGAACGAAAACAAGAATGCATGGGACATGGATGAGTTCAATGAGTTGAATATTAGTAGCCACCATGAGACAACCGCTCTCGACACGCCACAACCAGAGGAAGATTCTACAGTGCCAAAAGGCAAGAAAATTAACTCTGTTTCATTCTTCGAAGAACCCACCGACAACATTGAGCAACAAGAAGCGCCACCTGACGTTAACGTGAATCTGTTGGACGCCGAAACTCCAGATGCCAACGCGGATGAGGGCAACGCTTGGGGAACCGATGAGTTTGATTTCAGCAGCCACCCCGACACATCTCCAGCTGAACAGCCTTTGGATAGCACAGCCCCGGAGGAGAACGATGCATGGGGGAATGATGATTTGCAATTTAGTGAGCGTAATGAGGATGATGATCCAGCAACTGTTGATGCGGCACAGGAAACATCTCCAGCTGAACAGACTTTGGATAGCACAGCCCCAGAGGTGGACAATGCATGGGGAAATGATGATTTGCAATTTAGTGAGCGCAACCAGGATGATCCTGCAACTGTCGATGTAACACAGGAAACATCTCCAGCTGAACAGACTTTGGATAGCACAGCCCCAGAGGTGGACAATGCATGGGGAAATGATGATTTGCAATTTAGTGAGCCCAATGAGGATGATGATCCAGTAACTGTCGATGCGGCACAGGGAGCATCTCCATCAGACCAGCCTTTGGATAGCACAGCCCCGCTGGAGGACGATGCATGGGGAAATGATGATTTGCAATTTAGTGAGCGTAATGAGGATGATGTGACTGCTGCTGCGACCGAAGTCAAAGACACGACTGCTGCCGCAGAATCGGAAGAGACCCATGCAGAGGGCGATGATGGCTGGGGTGACGATGTCCTGAACTTCAGCGGTCACCCTGACGAACACGCGGATGCCGTAGCAGAAGATGTCGGTGCTGCAGCATCGGACGATGCGGTTGGCGATTCAGAGACACAGGAAACTGGATCCGAAGGTGATGAAGTCCCGGGCAACAAATCGGAGCCACCCGACCTCGATCCACACGACAATTCTCGCGAGCTGGGTACTATCATTTCAAACAGTGATGTTGCCAATGCAGACGCCACACCAGCACAGGGTAAAGCTGATGGTACCGCCAAGAAACCCAATGAACATGCACCAACCGGGATTTCCGACGAGGGAATTGTCCAGGATAAAGTTGAGACGCAAGTCCCCGAAAATGCTTGGAATGATTCAGATGAAGATGAGAATGTGGACTCTGCCGGGGACTGGATAGAAAATCAAGAGTTGGTTACGAAACATGCTGCGCATTTCCAGCATAACGACGACGGAGGCGACGACAGTACTGTTGAACTCTCCAACATTGGATTTGTGGACAATAGAGATGGGAAACCGGCTGGCAGCGACGAGGCCAGCGCTTCGGAAGTAAAATTTGCTCTTCCAGCCCGTACCCCCTCTCGACGTGCAACCATTCGCGCCTCGAACACGTCCTCAGCGTGCTTGTCAAGGAGAGGTTCTGAAGACGAAGATTCCGAACCAATGGGCGAGAAAATTCTTGGTACGTCTGTCATGTTTGCCGATATGACGCTCGATAGAAAAGAAAGCGACCCTATCCCTTCCGACGATGGTGTCACTGGCACGGAAATCAGCACAGTCCCAAGCGATGTTATGAGCTCTGTCGAAACCCCTGAGAACGTGCAACCTGCACCTGCAGCGACGGAGGTTGCAGTAAGCCGTGATGCTCTATCGTCGGTTTCCGACTACAGTTCAGAGTTGCCGAAACCCACATTCGAGACTCAAATTTCGATGATAACGCTAAGAAGCACTGCTGATAGTTGTCCCTCCAGGCAACGCGACAATGATAGTGACAATGAAGAGGGATATGGCCCGGTTGTTGACAAGACGCCAGAGGTTGGTGCCGAGGCAAGCACACTACGGGGGCTGTCAACAATGACCATCAATTCCACTGCAGTAGCTGCCCACAGCATAGGTGACGATATCAAGGAAGACGACGATATGGATGGAACATACTACGGATCTACGGCGGGAGAAGGGCAGGAAACCGAAAATGCGTGGGAGGAAGATGATGCAACTAGTCTTGGAGGCCTGCATGACCTAAGTGAGAAAATCGTAAATTTCGAGCTATCAACTGACCCCAACTCATCGGCTGCTCAGGAGGATGCAGTTGTCGCTCCATTGAGCAACGCAGCTTCACAGGAAGCCGAGGCTGTAACCCCTCCTTTGGATTCTTCCATGGCCATCCTATATGCGGACGATAACTCCGTGCCATCTCGCGACAAGGATGATGACAATGAAGAAGAATACAAGCCAGTGGTTGACCAGATCCCAAAGCCACTTCAAGAGTTACTCAACGAGAAATCTGGCAGGACGTTAAATTCGATGGCCGTTCTCGCTGATACTAACAGCCAGGACGACGGCAAGAATGAAGAATCATCAACGGAAAAGGGAACCAATGACGGTGACAATGGATGGGATGATGATGGATTTCTTGGAGACATTGATGAAGGGGAGAATGGTGATGATGATGACGATGACAATGAAAGCAATCCCGAGTCAAATCAGGTTGTTATTGATAACACGCCCATGGAAGCAAACTCGACAGGATGGAAGTTTGGAGGATCGCTGGCAGCCGTTGCATCAGCAGACAATTCTTGTCCAAGTAGGGTACACGATAGTGACGAGGAAGTCTACGGACTCATGGTGGATCAAATTCCAGCGCTGCCCGCTCCGCTGTTAGATCAGATGTCAGTGACAGCCCTCTCGATGGCCGTGGTGGCCAACAAAGAAGATTTGAAGGAGAACGAAGAGCTTGATGCTAGTGATCATGGAGAGTCTACCGTGGACGGTATGGGAGTTAGTGCCTGGGAGAATGAAGACATTGGTCTAGCAGCTGACCAAGACACCAAGGAGAAGGGAAATGTTCCAACACCAGTGGCTCGATCCGATGCCACTCCCACCGAAGGTCAAGAAGACTGCGTTGATGATCGCTTGGTTGATCTGACCCCGAAAATTGAAGGCAAAAAGGTCTCACGTTTTTCGTCGAATTCGCTGGCCGTCTTGGCACACTCTGTCAACCTTGATGAAGAGGACGACGAAGACGAGGATAACGACTCCCATTTTGGGCCTGTTGTCGATAAAACTCCTCTTTCGCAGAAGCCACCCGCAATGACTCCCAGCTCAACAGCTGTCCAAGCTACACGGCAGGATGAAACCACAGAAGGTGGTGTTGGAGGTTGGGATGACCCAGATTTCCCTGAGTTGGAGGATATGGAATCAGGAGACGAGGGAGAAGAGGATGAAGAAACAGAAAGTGAGGCCCCTGTGGAAGAATCCGTTCCAGTGACAGCAGAGGCAGATGACAACCAAGTTGTCCTCGTGGACCACACTCCAGAAGCAGTGGTGACTCCAAGGAAGCTCAAGGGTGACGCTTCAATAGCCGTTTTGGCCCCCTCTGAAGATGGCACTGTTGTCAGCATGATCAATGATGACGATGATGTCGACACTATAGATCCACATGGTGAACGAGTGTCATATGGGCCAGTTGTGGATACCATTCCGGCTTGGAGGATGCAGCCAATTGGAGCACCCAGCACGGCGCCATCTGTTACTTTCTCTCTTGCTGTTGAAGCACGCAGTGTAGCTTCGTTGGATGACGAGATGGACGAGACCTTCTGTGGCGATACTACTATTGGAGAAACAGCAGGCGAAAATGGTTGGGGCGATGATCAGACTCTTGAGGATCTGGACGCGGACGCATCGATCAGCCGCGGTGCAACAGCACTTCAAACGCAAAGAGCCAAACCAAACAACCAGACAGAGAGCAGCCAACCCGAGATCATGGTTGATCATACCCCGCAGCTAAAAATGCCTCCACCACAGATGGGCGATGCTTCACTGGTTGCACTTGCTCCGTCAGAGGCGGGCACATATCGCTCCGCTACTGACAGTGCAATCGACGACGATACTATTACTCATGAGGGAGACCTTTATGGCAAGGTAGTCGATCACACTCCTCGTTTAGCACCGCTCCCTCTCGTGACCAGCAACTCTATGGCAGTGACTGCCGGTGCCGAATTCAGTTCCGAAATGGAGAGGGAGGAGGACTTGGATGTCACTCTGGGTGGAGACACCATGGATGCGTTTGCTCAGGAAGATGGCTGGGGCGAGGAAGACGCCTTGGATGAAATTGACGCTGACGTGCCAACATCAGAACAGTCGACGGATGAGATAGTAGTGGATCATACTCCAGTCGCCGACACTCAACCCAAACCAGCGTTGACGGACCCCTCAGTGGCAGTTCTTGCACCATCAGACGACGGCAGTCGTGAAGAAGACAATGACACTTACCGGTACGATGAACAAATTGTCTTCGGTCCAATGGTGGACCAAACACCCCAGCCTGAGGATTATGCCGCGATGTCTGAGTCAGTGGTTGCGAGGCATGATGGGGAGCTTGAGGGGACTCTGTATGGTGACTCTACAGTCGGCGGTGACAACGGATGGGATGAAGACGACAATGCTCTTGACAATCTTGATGACGACGAAGAAAAAGAGTCGGAGTCTGTTGCTGCCGATCCAACCACTACGAACTTGTGGCAGTCTGCAGAATTGGTATCAGACAACGCATCTTCTCATTTGGAAGGCTCAACTGTTGGCAAATCATTCCCTGATGCATCTTCTTCCCAGGATGGAGTTGTCCTCGTAGACCACACTCCCTCCGAAATTGACGCGTCTGCTCAGAAGAATTCAGTTGCGTGGCTGGTTAATGTTGAATCGGGTATCAGTGGAGACGAAACCGAGGATGCGGGAGCGGCTGGTCCAGCGCCTGCGGCAGAGGAAGACCAAGTGGTAGACCGCATCCCGCATGGTGCAGCATCGCGATATGGGGATGCGTCCACTTTGGTTGTTGCAGATCCATCCGAAGTACTATCCCATGTAGGCGACATGTTACAAGAAGAGGGCGACTTTGGACCAGTCGTAGACTTGACGCCACCCACGCGCCCCACGGCTCCACACGTCATATCGGCAGCAGGGTCTACAGTTGCTGTGGCTCCAACTGTAGGCCGAGACGATTTAGACGATGCTGACGCAGATGACACTGTCAATGCTGGAGAGGGGGATGGTTGGGAACAAGATCCATCTGAAATCGATCAGACCCCCAACCCTCAGTCTGGAAATGAGGAAGAACCTGAGGCTCCTCGTGTTCGCGAACAAGTTGTCGATTTCTTGCCGCCGCCACAAAGAGAAAATCCCCCGGACCAGAACCGCGATGGGTGGTCGGAAGTGGCTACGGGAGGGGCGCCATCGGTGTTGGCCGCGGATCCCAGGGAAACCGATTTCGGACGTAAGATAATCCAGCATGCTGATTGTGCTATCATTTCAATGCTTGTCGTCATCTAACGTGGAATCTCCTTTTTCTCCCCCACAGCTGTTGTTGACCAGCTTCCTGTCGCAGTACAACATGCCAATGCCCTATTTTCTGCCATATCTACTGCAAGTCAGGTTGCTTCCTCAGAGTGTGATGCTCTTGCTGGGGAGGACGAAGGAACAGAAGATGGCAAGGGCGCCCCCAGCGTGCTTGTCGACCCATTGCCAAGTTCTGTTGCATTGCAAAACCTTGATTCAACTGCTTCTCTGGTGCACTCGTTGGCGAGCGAAGATGAAGATGACGATGATGCCAGGTACGGCCCAGTTGTAGACCATCTCCCCTCCATTAGGTCCTCGCTACCACCGTCTCGTGGTGGGTCAACCGTGGACGCATTAGCAACTGTGTCAGAGGTGATTGATGACGACGATGACGACGTGGAAAACGCATCAAGTGAAGGTGGAGGTGACAACGGTTGGGGTGACGACGACCTCGGCGAGATTGATCTCTCCGAAAGAATCGAAGAGAAGGGAGCCAGCTCCGACGAACCAGCTCCAGCTGTCAGCCAAACAAAGGAAAGGGCAGACGGCCAAAGCAATCAACAAGGTGATCGTTCTATGACAGTACGTTTCCAATCTGTCGTGGCGGCAATATTTGAATCTAGCCCAAGCAACGACCCTCAGCAGCTGAGTCTGACAAGCGCAGAAGACGTTGAGACCCCAGCAGAGAACTCGGGGTTGGGGGATCAGGCAGAACCATTAGAGCCTGCAGAACCGAATGCCTGGGACGACGATGTTGATTTCGATGTAACTTTCAACACGAGGCTTAGTGGGAATGATCGAACAATGCTGACGGAACGACTAACTCAGTTTTCGGAAGCGGACACTCCTCCAGCAACACCGTACTCACGTTCCAAGACGACGCACCGAGATGCAGACGATATGCCTCCAGTTGGGGTGGCATTGCCCGATTTAAGTTCAGCAACAACGACGAAACTCAAGATGCAGTGCAACACATGCGAAAATGCCACTACCAACGACTGCCCCTGTGTGCAGCGAATACTAAGAAGGAAGCAAGACGGTGACGACTCGATTAAAGTGGACTACAATAAGCTTTTGCAGTCGGAGATCACAAAGCGTCGATTGATTGAGGAGGAAACAAGCGATTTGCGGCTGCAACTCGACACTCTCAAAAACTCGAAGTCAGCTGGAGAAGTGCGCATGGAGACTGTTCGAACGCTTCAAGAACACGTCAAGGTTGTTGAAGGAAAGCTTCAAGATGCCGAGAAATTTGGTGATTCGCTGCGAGACCAGAACAAGGAGCTCCAATCTTCACTTGCGGACGCCCAAGGGACTCTCTCGACCTTGGAAGCACAGCGGACGCAATGGGTCGCCAAAGAGGCCTCACTGAGAGAAGAAGCGGAAAGAATCAGGAAAGAACTGCACCAATCGCTGGAGATTAACGAAAAGGATCTGAAGACAGAGGTAGAAAGCAAGCAAAGTTTTGCGGACAATCTATCTCGGCAACTGGGAACATTGCAGGAAGAGTCCTCTCGCTTACGAACTGAAAACGAATCGTTGACGGCGGATATTACAACCCTCAGGCAATGTCTCAAAGATAAGGAGTCCCAGATTGCCAAACTGGAAGCAGATCTTCAGGAATCAAATGACATGATCTTCGAGCTCGAAATGGCTTCCGAGTCAGCACGCGAGCTTCAGGATCTTTACAAGGACGTGGAATCAGAGCTTGTTGCCAAAACTGCACTCTGCGAACAACTGAGAAATGACGTGTCGTTGTTAGAAAGGCGTGTTCAAGCGGCCGAAGGAGAAAAGATCAACCTGACGAATGAGAGTGCCAGTCTTCGCAAGCAACATGATGACAAAATGGCTAGCTTGCAGAGCCAATTGGAGAGGCTCCAGCTTGAGCTTGACGAATCGAAGAAGTTGCGAAGCCAGGAAGCACAAGACGGTAGCATCAAGCTAGCACAGGTGCAACATGAATATGACAAGCTTTGCGACGAAAAGCAAGTGGTGGAAGCCAATGCCCGTGACAGCCAGTCATCGAGTGAAGCAGCGCTGATAGAATCCCGAGCTGGGCTTGCTGCAAAGGTTGAAGAGTTGCATGCGGCAACTGAGCATTTGAGCCACCTACAAGAGCAGAACACCCGCCTCGCGGCAGAGCTGGAAGATGTTGCCGCCGTATCTGCAAAGGCTCAATCCTTGGAAGCAGCTCTGAAAACAGTTCAAGACGAACGGGAGTCCTTGAAAATGCAACTGCAAGAATCAAATGATTCGGTTGCGAGATTGCAACAGCGAATTGACGACCAGGGCATCGAAGAAGGAGCCGTGGAACAGAAGAAAAACATTGAAATCGAAGCTTTGGTCGCAGAGCGCTCGAAGCTGCAGAGCGAGCTTGTTGAAAAAGGCCGCCAGATTGAAAACCTGGAGCAAAACTCGCAATCGTTTGCACAGGAAAAGGCTGCGCTGTCTACGGAGTGTGAACGGCTTCAGGCCATGGCGGAAAGCTCCAGAGTCGAAGCGTCTGACGTAAACGAGCACCTAGCTAAGCTCTTGGATGAGTTCGAGACATTGCAGAATGAGGTTGTCGGCCTTGAAGAAGACAAAGGGGCAGCCGAGGTCGAGAGAGACCACGCCGCGCAAAAGAGCAGGGAGCTCGAGACTTCACTGACGTCAGCGTTGCACGACGTTTCGCAGAGTGCCGAGAAAGCAAAAGAGCTGGAATTTCTTCTGTCACAGCGACAGGAAGAGCATGACCAGCTCTTTGCAAAGTGCAACGACCTGGAAGCGCTTCTTGCGGAGAAGGCGCAAGACTCGCACGAAATTGGTCGGCTAATACACGACAACACCGCCCTGTATGAGCAGGTAACAGCCTTCCAGCAAGAACTGGCCAACCAAAACATTGTTTTACAGAACTTTGAAGCTCGCGCTGCTGCCCTCGAGCATGAGTTATCCGCTGAGAGGCAAGCAGGCGCTACGAAGGACGAAACACTCATCAGTCTTCAGGAGCAACTCGAATCAACCCGCCGCAGCTTGGAAATGTCAACGGAAGGAGCTAGTAAGCTTCCAGAACGGATCGCTGAGCTCGAGCAAGAACGCGATGAACTTGGACGGCACATTCAGGAATTAAGCAATCAGAGAAATCAAGCCGTCGTCGGCTCTGAAGGTTTGGCGCAGGAGAATGAAGAGATGCTTGTCCAATTCGGTTTACTGAACGAACAGCTGGATGCCTATCGCGAGCAAGCGAATGAGCTTCAGAACTTGTTGCAAAGCCACGAACAGACCACTGCAATTACCGACGCGAGGATACTCGAATTGCAGCAACAACTTGTCGCTGCCGAAAACGTCCAAAGGGCCAGCAGCGAACAAAATGCAAGCTTGGTGGAGGAAAAGAACAGAGAACTGATTGATCTACGAAACGAACAGATCAATCTTATCGAAGAAATTCAAGCCCTGAATGAATATGGCGCCGAGAAGGACGATATAATCATATCACTCACAAATGATCTGGAAAGTGTCAAGTCGCAGCTAGCTGGTTACGAAGAATTGAAAGCAGATTCCGCCTTTATTACTAGGGATAACGATGAGCTCCGTTCTCAGATCGAGAACCTGGAAATGCAACGTGATGAAGTCGAAGCCAACTTCAGTGTTCAGGAAGAGACCATTTCGGCCTTGAGGAATGAGCTGGACGAGTCGAGGGTGACCGCTTCGTCGTTTGAGGATCGTGTGAAAGTGCTCGAAGAGGCATGCGCAGATCGCGAAGCAGCCCTGCAACAGAAGGAAGGAGAGATTCGTGAATTGGTAGGGCGCCTGCACGATTCCAGCGGCTCGTCCGTTGAAAGCACCGAAGAGATACTGGAGCTAAGGAATAGGTTGAACGAGATGGAAGCTTCAAACCAGGAAACTATGGATCGTGTGCACCAGTTGGTGGCAGAGCGTGATACGTCAGAGGAAGAGCTAGCCTTCAACAGAAAGTGTCTTGCTGCTGCGGAAGCATCCGCAGAGCAACTCGAGCAAGAGTTGGCTCAGCAGGAAGAGGAAGCGCGCAAACAATCGGAGGACCAAGAAGCCCATATGTCAGAGCTTGAAAACAAACTGCAAGCCAAGAAACGTGAGGTAGCGGAGTTGACGCATCGTAGCTCTGATCTTGTGAATGAAGTGGAAGCGGTTCGTGCCGAATTGGACGCCTTGCAATCACAACCACGGCCGCAACCACAGCCGCCCGCTCTAGCTGTCGACGAAGCCGCAATTACCGAGCTGGAATCACTCAGGGGCCTCGTTTTCTCATTGGAAGAGCAGCTGGAATCATCGAAGTGCAATGCCGATGAACGCGAGGAGGTTCTCCAAGAGGAGATCAACGCCCTGAAAGGGCGAATCGCGACGAAGGACGGCGAGGCCTTGGTGCTGAAGAACAGGGTCGAATCTCTCCGTGGGGAGGTTCAGAGTTCCAGGGAACAAGTTGAGGGTAAAGTGGCTGAACTTCAAGGGCTGGCTTCGGAAATGGATAGCATTCGAAAGAATCAGGAGGCAATTCCCGAGAGTTCCCAGATATCTGCTTTTCATCTACTTGAAGCGACCAAAGAAAACGCCGAAAACTTGGACAGTTTGCGTGCCACAGTGATTTCCTTGGCCAGCGCACTGGAGACCTCTGAAAACCTCAGAGCGGATGCCATTGACCGGCTTTTGAAGGAAAGGGAGACTTACGCCGTGAGCCTTCGCCATTTTAGTGATTCTGTGAAGCGGTTCTACACGACGCTCAGCTTCAACAATGTTTGATTCGAACCGGTGGTATTTGAATTGCAATCCAGCCAGCTACTAGCTAGAGTTTCATAACGAGCAACAAAGGCTATAAGTACAGTACGAAGAAGTTGAGTGCGACTGGTGGCTGTAGCAAGGTATCCGGATGCTGGAGAAACTTGAATGACCCGTTCAAGCTAAGGGGAGCCTGTTGTTTCTGGTATACGGTATAGTACCTAGCTAGTTGCCGTGATCAAGCTGCTTACGTCAGGTTAAAAAAACCAAAAGCACAACAGCAAAAGCAAATGTCGAGTAGCAGGGATGCCAGCAGTATGATGCTAGAACGCATTAACGTAAAATAGTCAAATAAGCAGGGCCATCACAATTCTGAGTTCTTGGTTTCGAAGGCAAGGAACCGACATCAATCCAGTCCATCCCTTCAACGAGCTTTCTTCATTCCCAATAAATTGAAGATTTAGTTGGAGCCAGTGGTCTCGACCTTGGACATCATATCAGAGATCTTGGAATCGAGGCGCTCTTCGGCTTCCTTCTCGAGCTTCTTGAGTTCCGACTCGAAGTCGGTCTCCTCCCACTTGCCATCAGCAGGCTTCCATTCTGCGCTCAAAGATGTGGAAACGCCAAATGGTCTGAAAGAAAGCAGAGAAGAAATACAAGGAAGGTGAGAAATCTACATTTCTGGGCCTGATGCTACTCTAGAGATCCTGTCCAGTTCCAACTTCAACTTGTCCACGGTGATACTAGCGAACCCAAATCCACAAACAATTCTACGTCCTACCGTACCTGGAGGCGGGGGCGAAAGCAGCAGCAGACGCAACAAGAGCAGAAAGAAGAACAATTCGGTTGATCATTGTGAAGGTGTGTTGACTATTATACGAAAATTGTAGGAGACGATGGGTCTGTTTGTTGTTTGCTTTCGGGATGCCTTGGCTGAGGCTTCTTGTGCATGTACATGTCTGCTACGTTTGCGTTGCCTGGTGTTGCATTTTGATGGTTGGGCTGTGCACAACGAACGCACTGCGCCGAACTGCAACAAAACACATACGTCAGTGCCGGTACACGTATCGTACGCACTACTACGAGGACTAAGCTGATTAAGGCTAAGGCTTTTTGACAGAAATAAGCGGTTGAAGCTGCTATACATGTACTCTCGTCGCTTCGTGCGATGTACCGAGGCCCACGCCAACCGTGGGTACAGCGTACCCACCGTATCGAAGGTGGTACAAGCCCTGGGAGCAATGAGAAATACATGTACCGGTATGCATACGGATACCTCAAGATTGACAAGAATGGAACGAATGTAGAATTGCACCACAGCGGTACGGCACGATACAACCCACCAACGATGTTTGGTGCGCAAGCAAAACTGACAGGCCCATCTTCGAACACCGCGATTGAACCATTCATTCTCTTGAACTCACACCTGATGAGCAAACCAGATCACGAAACCAAACACACCAGTTGCTGGACTAGCTTTGCTACTAGGCTCCAGTCGTCCGTTGGAGCGACACAGTACATGTACCTAGTGCTCCTTGCTCCGTTTGAGGGCAGCCAAAGAACTTCTGAAGCCTGCACCAGTATTTTTGGCTGGGATTCCCATTCTCTGTTCTTTCTGTAGGATTTTGTCTTTGCAATACCATTGCCCATTGAATGGGCTTCCTCCTTGATGGCATAAACTTGGAAGATACCATCTCTTGAAATATCCTTTGGCGAAGGCTCAGCAGGTATTTGGACGCCGACTTAGACAGCAAAGGAAGGCTCTTCTTCTCCATGACACCTAGTGCTTGTTATCCAGTTTCTTACTCGCTATTGTGGCGTGCACAACTGAAACCAAGGATGTCTTGCATCTGCCAAGTGGACTTTGTCTACATGTAGCTATCATTGCTACGGTGCTGCCTCCAGAGTAGTCCAGTCCCACAGCGTGTCTCAAACTGCCTGTAACCTAAAGAAGATGACCGTTATTAAATCATACTTGTAGTAAAGAGTCATCTGCTTGTTTACTAGGACTTTATTTCTTCCATCCTGGTTGATTGCTCCAATTATTGCTCCTACCCCCTTTGATCTTGTAGTGGAATTCTTTCTTAAGATGAGAAGGGTCACAGTCACTAATTTGTAGCTCCTGGCTGAAACTGGTTGGTCGTAGTCCCAGCATGAACCATCAAGTGAACCAAACCAACGAACCACGAGGTGGTGCGAAAAACAAACAAACTCGCGACGTGTTGCACTATCACAAATCTCGTCTCTCGCCTTTCGAAGGTCCATATATACTGTCATTAGCTAGCTAGGTCCAATCCTAATCATCCACCATGAGCCGCCAAGATAAGCACTTTACTGCCGACTGGGACAGCTTTGACGGCGACGATGGCAGCGACTACTATTCGGAAGAAGGAGATTTCTCTCAAGACATGTCGGTGGGAACGGATCACAGTCCAGTGGATGTAGCGGCATTCCCTTCCTCCGTCAAGACGGCGATGTCGATTCGACAAGAATTCGAGAGCGCCAAGTCCATGGAGCAAAAGATAGCAGCACGATTATCGCTTCCTTCTACCAATAGACGAAGCACAATCAGTGGAACCGCACCTGCCAAAACTAATCGATTGCCCAAAAAGAGCCGGTCATTAGAGGGCGCTGCCAAAAAGGCTGTTGCGGCTCTGGCATCTCAAACCCCAGAGGATCGACGATTGGTACGACGAACTAAGAGTGACTTGAAACCGAGAGGATCCCGCGAATCAGAAGAAGCAGGACCACCACGACGAGGCCGACGCCATGGCGGTCGTCGTACTGGTACTAGTAGCGTGGAGCACAGCAACAATAGCAGCAGCAACAGCAACAACGACAACAGTAGTCCTCGCAAAAGCCCTCGCAAAAGCAGTCGGCGACAAAGCGGAGCCAAGAAGGTAGAAGAGAGTCCCTTGGAGCGAGCGCAACGAATCAAGGAACTCAGTCTGGCGTTCCAAGCAGCAACCATGCTAGAGAAGAGCATAGCACCCAAAACTGAACACCTCAAGAAAGATGTCCTCATGTGAGGCGAACACCGAACACCAGCAAGATTGATTGGATCACTTGCATGTTCTCTCCATAACGTACAGGCATTGCTTTCGAATTTTAACAGACAAGAGGTTGTTCTAGTATTATTTTGTAACTTTTAAAAATACTTTCATGCGATGATGCCAATAGCTGCACGAAACTCCTTGGGAGCTAGCAAAGGACGAACCCAAGCCTATCGGCCCGCGATGCTTCCAGGATGTAGTTGTCCTTCGTGGGGGGGCGGGACCGTCCGCCAAGAATCCAAGGCAAGATGAGAACAAAATGGATTGCCGATACAGGACACAGGACGAACCCAAGCTTGGTTACCACCGTTCGTAACTCAGGCCATCAGCTCGCCGAAGACCACTTGCCTCGGCGAATATTGGGTCTTCGACCACTGTACAAGATGGCTCGATTCCATGGAATATTGGATCTGTACCACTGGAAAATACATTCCGACCCATCTTGTCCGCTGGTTCCCTCGGGCCTCAGGCAAGTGCCATGACTTCTGCGAGGAGGGATGAGAAGCTACCATTTTAAAATATATCTGTGTCTATAATAGGGGTCTTCAACATTGCTCTTTCATTCCACTTTTTTGGCACATTTTTTTTCTTTTCTGGGGGAGCCAGAAGAGGGAAAGAAAAGAAGGGTCGGAGAGGCAAGAAAAGAAAAAAAAAGTCACTCCTCCGAAAGAGCACCTTTTTAGGTGCTCTTTCGCTCACAATTTTTCTTTCTTCACTCTTTCGGTCATTCTTTTTGGCTCCTTGGCATGTGACGTTTCCAACGGAAGCACGTCCCAACAAACCGATTTAATGTGAGTTCTCACGGACATCGAGAGACTTAACAGATTAGTTCTTACAAGCAAGCCACTTCAGCTTGTGACACGACCAACCGAAAGCTTTGTGACCGGTCCAATCATGCTTCCGTTGGTCTTCTTCAAGGGTTCTCGTTTTGAATTTCCTACCCTCTCCGCACCTCTCCGGTTCTGCCCCAGATCCCCTTTTCTTCCCCTCTTCTGGCTCCCCCAGAAAAGAAAAAAAAGGTGCCAAAAAAGTGGATTGAAAGAGCAACATTGACCACCCCTAATATATATCTAGCTAGCTAGCTACCTGTCAAGAATCTTCTGCCATTATTGGTCGGCTACTAGCTACCGGTAGCTAGCTCAGCTCATCCAATGGGTCTGGGTGACAGGCCCAGCTTCCGTACTGCCACTGTATGTACATACGATTTTAGCAAAAAGTGGCTGAACTAAGTACGTATACTCACAAACTGGCGAATGGCTGAAACACGAGCTTTCACTCTGTGGTAACTTTTCGGTTGTTTGACTTTTTCACCCCCATGGGAATCATCAGTGCTTGGGCTATTGCGGTACTTATGAAATTGTGGTTTGTGTTGGCAGGCTCCGTAGATGTCCTTGCAGGAGTTGATTAGCTTTTCCAGAGATTCTCTGAATGGTTTCAGTATCGAGTCGCTCCCTATTGCATAGGCTGCAGTGTTGTGTCCAGAAGGTCTTGACAGTGCTGATCGGGTTGCCTTGCTATAGGATGCTCGGTTCGATGCTGTTTCTTTGAACAATGTCACTGTAAGTAGAATTAATCCAACCCGATTCGATAAATATCATGGGGGGAGGAGGTGGAAGGCCACGGAGCCACCGCGTAGCCCCGGTACAAGGAGGAGTCACTTAATTAGGAGACTCCAGCCGTTACGGTTAACCTCAATCCAATGCAGCACGCGCCCTACATCTTGTACCTACAATTTGCCAGGCTTAAGTTCGGTTTGCCAGCCCTTGCCAGGCTCCACTCTGCACGCGCACTGTTCCACGGCGGAGTATCGGGAAATGAGGCATTTGATGTCAAATTGACATTTTGATGTCAATATTGTCAATTGATGATTACTGACACTTTTGACAAGACTCAAAACCGTCAATTTGTCAATGTTGATCAATTTGATCAATTGATGTCAACAAGAATCAATTTGTCAGTGTTGACATCAAAATATCAAACTGATCAAATTGACTCAAATTGACTCTGATTGATCAATGTTGACTCAAAAAAATCCTCAATTCGATGTTGACAGTTTTCTTTGAATCAATTTTGATGTTTCCGTGACAGTTGTGACAGGACCATTTGACACAACCATGGGACACCTTTACTCCATCACACGATGTTATTATCTCCTTTTTACAACGGCTACTCCTCTTTCATGGCTACCGGTACTCCCCTTTCATGGCTACTACTACTACTCCACCACAAAAGGATCCTCTTATTTGGATAACGGTAGGCTGGAAACAGCAGCAGCGTCACAACCTACGAATTGACAGATATGAGACGGATTGACGGTTCTAAGATGATCGCTTCCTCCGAAGTGTCATTTTCGTGCGGTGGATCGATGATAGCAACAAGCGGCAGCTACTCGCATAGGATGTACCATGGACCACAGAGTATCTGTGAGCCTCTGCCGCGAGCCTCTGCTAGTGATGCGATTAATGAAACAAGTGGCAGATTTCCTATGACTGTACCGGTACTGAGTGGTCGATCGACTACAAAGAGCCAACAATTCTCCTTTGTCCAGATGAGCTCCCAATCTCCTAATGGATTTTCTTTCGGTTGCACACGCTCCATCAAATTGGATTTCGGCGCATCGATACTTCTGCCGACCGCGGAGCCACAGGTTATAAGGGTATCATCCTATTAATGCTAGCTAGTGCGATTGTTGCCACCATCTGCCATAGTCGGCCCTTTGATGAGTGTGTGTTGTTGTCATCAAATCAAATGTCAATTTGTCAATCTTGAACAATTTTGATTAACATTAATCAGTGTTGAGTCAAAAAAAGTATCAACAAATCAAAAAAAAGAATTGACAGTGTTGACTGATGCTGACTGATGCTGACTGATGTTGATTTTGTTGATTTGCGTCTACTTGTCAATTTTGATGTTGACAGGTGTTGAACCGTTTTGACTGTCAAAAAATCAAAAAATGTCAAAACCAATCAAAATTGAGTCTTGATTCCATGATTGACATCAAATGTCAATTTGACCTCAAATGCCTCAATTCCCGATACTCCGGCCGACAAAGCTCCCTTCGACGCCTGCCGAGTCACCAAAGCGAACAAGAACAAGATTTAGAAGAACACAGCAAGCCACTCGGCACCAGATGCAATACACAGCTCTTAGCCTTATTCGCGACTCGATCCTAGATAGGGTTTGAGTTCGACTCGTGACGTAGTCCCTCGCGAATAGTTATTGAGAGGACAGGGTTCTCATGACTGCTAGTCATACTAGCTAGGTTGTCGATGAAACATCGTTCTAGTTATTTAGCCTGCGTGGAAAGCTTCCACGCTACTAGACAGCTACTAGCTGAAGTTTCCACGTGTTCCGGAATTGGACCGTGGAGTACGTAGAGTTATTACCATAACCTACGATATCACACTTCGAGGCCTCCCGCGGGAGACCAACTTCAATGAGCTTCACAACGATCTCTCTCATGGATTAGTTTTCTTAGTTTTCTAATCTCTCTTATAACGTTCATTCTCTCAAACTCAAAACACTCGAAAGATCTTTACACTAGCTTTTAGCGTAGTGCATTTTGTTAACAAACATAATAGCTTTCAGCTACCCTCAACCTATTCCTTCACCATGAAGATTGCTTAAGGAAAGCATGCGTTCAGCAACTTCGAGAAACAGTTGCGTGACAAACCCATTCTTCCTGTCGTCGACAATGACGAAGACATCGAGATCGACGATTCTCGTGCCACCACCTACAAACTTCGCTCTATTCCTGCAGACGCAAACAGTGCCAAGTACACCTTCAAGGTAGCCATCACCAATGGCCCCAACACTCCACGTGAGACCATCAAGTGGGCCACGAATATGGAGAAGGTTTTCGTCGGACTCAACCTTGCAGGTGCCGACGACAAACATCGTCTTCTCAAGGAGATGACTTCCAGCTCTGCAAAGAGTGCCTACGAGGCTGGATGTGCAGGCAGTCGTGCCGTGCGCCACAACGCCCTTCGGCAACTCGCTGTGTCGCGAGAACCAGCACGCGATCCTATAGCAGAAACTGAAGCAATGTACACCGCTTGTATTCAAACCGCATGGTGCAGCAGAGCCCGCGCTAAATCACCACTGGAATCAACGCGATTATCGAACAAGCCTGTCCTTACAAGGCTCTCAAAAAACAGAAATGCTTCATGTGTCGCAAGATGCGCAAGTGCAATACACGGCTCTTAGCCTTATTCGCGACTCGATCCTAGATAGGGTTTGAGTTTGACTCATGACTGAGTCTCTCGTGAATACATGTAGTCAGTTGAGACAGGGTTCTCAATGACCGCTCTGGTCATACTAGGTTGATGATGAAACATCGCTCTAGATATTTAGCCAGCGTGGAGTACTTCCACGCTACTAGATCCATGCTAGACAAACCTTCCACGCGTTCCGTTTTAGGATCGTGGAGAGACGTAGGATTTACGCAACCTACTCTATCCACACTTTATAGTCTCCCCGGGGAGGCAACTCGATCTTGATGATGAACTCTCTCTCGTTGTATAGTTTTCATAGCTTTCTAATCTCTCTCTATAACTTTCATTCTCTCAAACTCAAAACACTCGAAAGATCTTTACACTAGCTTTTAGCGTAGTGCATTTTTGTTAACAAACACAATAGCTTTCAGCTACCTCAACCTATTCCTTCACCATGAAGATGGCTCAAGGAAACATGCGTTCGCAACTTCAAGAAACAGTTGCGTGCCAAACCCATTCTTCCTCTTTTCGACAATGACGAAGAAACGAGATCGACGATACTCTGCTCACCACTTGCAAACTTCGCAACCATGTTTGCCAACGCAATCAGAAGACTCTGATAATGAGGACAACTCCTCTATCAATTTCAATCACTTGGTGGAGAAATCTCGTATCTGAGGATTAGGCCAGGGAGATGGGACTTCACGGAACCATGTTCGCGATTTCTCATACGCAAAGTGTTATTAATGATATCTCACTAAC